GCCAACTAGAGGACAATGATACCAATGTTTTCCAGAAGAGCCTCATTGATAGATACCAGCACAGACCACAGCAGCTTAGTTCCATGTGTCTAGCTGAGTTTGCTGCCACATATGTTGTGAAGTATGAGCGTAATGATTGTGATGCCTTACCAGCCCCTGAGAGTGATGTCACATCCACACAAATAACACTCACTGACAGATTCGGCAAGATGAACAAACGAAAGCAACAGGCCGTGATTAGATTCCGAAAGTACAACAAAGATACTGACCCTAGCAATTGGTATAGAGCCAAACTCATGCTGTACTATCCCTGGTTTGATGAGCAAGCAGATTTACTAGGCCGATATGCAACCTATGAGGAGCACTATAGACATGTCCGTACCATTATCCAGACAAACGAAGGCAAGTACACAAAAGCCGATATAGATGACATAGAGGTTGGCGAAGATGGCCCACCTGAGCATTTGTGGAACAGCATTGCACCATCCACTGAGGAAAGTAGAATGCAGTCCATGGCGGAAGGTAGCGAGCAACTAACTGAGATTTCCCAACAAGATTTACGAGATAATGAGAGTATCTTAACATCAGGGCCTAATTTGCATGTAAGATTTGAGGCCTCTGCCCATAAACTAGAAATCCCCCCTGACCAGTACAGAGAGTATATGAGAGGGCTAAATGAGCAGCAGAAATCCATTGTTATGTTCCATCGTGACTGGTGTAAGAAAGCCGTAATAGCACTGAAAGAGGGGAAGCCAATCGAGCCTTATCATGTGTTCCTAAGTGGCCCAGGTGGTGTTGGCAAGTCACATGTGATAAAGTTAGTCCATTCTGATACACTGAAATTGTTAAAACTCTCAGGTGCCTTTGAACCAGATGATGTGATTGTGTTGCTAACTGCCCCAACTGGTGTTGCCGCATTTAACATCAATGGCATGACATTACATTCAGCATTCCTACTGGGACGTAGCAAATACAGTGGTTTTCAGCCTCTTAGCCATGACAGATTGAATACACTGCGAACTAAACTGTCACGTTTGATGTTTGTAATCATTGACGAAGTAAGCATGGTTGGTTCCAATATGTTGCTAGAAATCCACAAAAGACTGCAGCAGATAAAAGGTGTGTCAGATGATAAGGTGTTTGGCGGTGTGAGTATATTAGCTGTGGGAGACTTGTATCAGTTACCACCAGTTGGCCAATCTCCACTGTTTAGCACAGCGAGTGACTGTTATGCTCAGTTGTATGGCTCAGGTTCATTGTGGGTTGACCATTTCCTGATGCTTGAACTAACTGAGGTAATGAGGCAAAGAGGTGACCTTGCATTCTCAGAGCTATTGTGCAGAGTAGAACCAACAGTTGCACATCTGCCGATATTAGAACTCTAAAATCTCGTGAAATAGCACCAGATGTAGTCAATTATCCAACCCACGCTTTACATGTGTATAGGATAAATGCAGATGTTGACACACGAAACACCCTTATGTTGAATAACCTGGCTCCACAGAGTGCACAGTTTGTAATCAAAGCCATTGATTCTGTAGCTGGTCAAACCAGTCATATATCCCTTGCTAGTCTGTCTGACAAAAGATCTGAAACAGGCGGTCTTCATGGTAGAAATCTCACGTGATCCGCGTACAAACGACTAAAAACTCAGTGAGAATCACTCCTAGGCCTTCAAAACATACTAGCATAGTCTACGGGCCCATATCTACCTATACATGTTCCCCAAGACCTCATACGCACCTCCAGTCGTCCAGGGGAGAATTCGCTCATACGCGATTTCACGATTTTCGTGTCATCATATTCTTCATCTTCTTCTTCTTTAAACCCGCTATCTCCTTACCAGTACCAGTTCAAGCACTGATTTTTTCACTGAAGGTCTCCAATTTCGTCGGAGGTCCTGACATCTGCTGGAAATTAGAGAAGAAGAAGAAGAAGATGAACAAAACTCCCTATATATCATAGCCCAATACATCTATGATGCTAGGTACCATGCCAATCCCTATAATATACTAAGTACTACTGTACTTAGTATATTATGCATAAAGTATTATAACCCCCATATAAATCCTTATGGACTTATGAAGGCTCTGGACACATGTGCCCGTGGCTGGTTAAGTGTTAATGCTATATCCTGACATCTGCTGGAAATTAGAGAAGAAGAAGATGAACAAAACTCCCTATCATAACTCCATACATCTATGATGCTAGGTACCATGCTCATCCCTATAATATACTAAGTACTACTGTACTTAGTGATACCGGCCAACAATATTGCATAATTATGGTTGTGTTGTTATAATACACACACCATCATCACAATAGTCATTATACAATAGTCACGATGTGTGTGAAGCTGTCACACTGGTCTAATCAAGAGAGATGGAATGATGTCATGATGATGTCATTGTTAATTGGTCGGAGGAGGAGGAGGAGGGTCTGCTGAGTCAGCAGTCTCCATTGGAACATCAGAAGTCTCCTCTGCAGTGGGTGGGGTCTGTCAGGGAGAAAAGTGAAGATATTCTCACTTTCTCTCTCCTCGCTCAGAATTATATGCACATGTTGTATATCTCGAATGGGGACACATGAAAGTCGCAAAAACCTTTTGCAAATTAATCGTGAATGCTTCGTCTTCACACACACACACACTCACACACACACACACACACACACACACACCCACACACACACTCCCAGTGCATTCAACTCTTTCTGGTGAGAAATTTACGAATGTCTCTATTTCTACGGTGCTTGAGAGAGGGAGGGAGGGAGGGAGGGGGGAGAGGGAAAAGCAGAAAGAAGGAAAGAAGAATGTGAGAGAATAAACACAGAGTACCGGTGAAGAGTGGATACAACACAAGGAGAACCATATTTCCTATGAGGAGGCAAAATTTGCTCCCCGTCCCCATGAAAGAAATGGCTTCGACTAAATGACGTAGGTATTGTTGGAGGCTACTTTCCAACAGAAAAGAAAATATTACCATCTTTTTCTCTTCTTGTTCCTTGAATTTGGTCCTCATGGGGCTAAGTTTCTGCTGCAGTTCAGTGGTGCAGAATTCATACATGTCCAGCTTCATCGTGTACTTGACGTCCTGTGAGGAGAGAGAGAGAGATGAACACGACCATTAGCCAGTCAATTGCTACTCATCTGAATAGGAACACAATTGAAGGGGTCACAGCCAGAGTGAGCCAACTCTCAATATACAACTCTTGCCGGTTTTTGTTCTATAAGGACATTTAGAACATATTTGAAGGAAAACCGGCAAGAGTTGTATATTGGAGGGTTGGCTCACTCTGACTCTGACCCCTTCAATTATTAATGATCATCTGAACAGGCACATAAATGTCTATATTGCATTTGTTCAAATTCGCACGTTGCATCCTCTCGTGTCACTAGACAAAGGAATAATGTGTAAACCAACATATTGTGTACCTTCAGGATCTTCCTAGCAACCGTTTCCCCACTGTCGGGGGCCTTGCCCACCGAGAACCGGACAAACTGGACTGTCAGGTATCCCGGGAGACGACTCAGCGGCGACGTCTTCTTGAAGTCCGCGTCTCTTCCCAGAACTGCAGACTTCTTCTTCACCGTCCCCTCCATTTCCTGGGAGGGAGGGGCACTTTCCTGCTGTCCTTATTCTTTAGTGCATTATTTGACCTACGACCTCTCTACAAGGGACAAAATCTTTGCCGCCATAGTGTCCCTTGTTCGGAGGTTCCAATATACATCATTCCCATTACTAACCTTCCTCATAGCTGTGTACATGTACTTCACATCCTGAGCAATAATAAAACACGACACTTGGTAGCTAGTTTCCGTCTCCGTGGTGACCGGTTCGTCTGGACACTCCTCGCATTTGTACGTCGACTTTGTCTCCACCCCTGTTACCAACGGCAACGTAAACCGGCCAATCAGATCACGGGTAAAACTGGAGTAAAAAACGTCTTACCAAAGTACTGCTTGATAAAGGCATCTCTTCCACCCGTCGCTCCCTATATAATACAAACATAATCATTTTTTAAGTGATGTTAATCTTGTCAGACTAGACAATCGTAAGAGAAATATGAACTACTCGGTCAGTCAGGATTGTATAGCAGTATATATTATATATATGAGGGGGCATGGAAAAAGGGACCTATATATGGCTGGAATGTGAAAATTAAGTTTTTGTGGTTTTCCCCAAAAACTTAATTTTCACATTCCAGCCATATAGGTCCCTTTTCCCATGCCCCCTCATATATATATATACCAGTGCAATATACAGTATATTATTACTTACACAGGTATATACAGGTTGGCCTCCGGGAAAGAACTGAGCGTAGAACTCAGATACAAGTACCTCCGGCCACCATACTACGATCGGTAGACGTTCACTTTCAGGTTAATTGTTAGTCCTCATACATTGCAGTCTTATTATCTCCTGAGTTGCTTTTACAACAGGTCAGAGGTGTAGGAATGGAGTGTGTTGATCCACTCAACCCTCGTCCACAGCTACTTGTAAGTACCTTATGCCTCAGACACAATACTCAACTTACCTCTCTCTCTCTCTCTCTCTCTCCCGCTCTCTCTGTGTGTCTGTGTGTCTCTTTTGTGGAACCTCCGATAAGGGACCCTCTGAGATAGGGACGACCTCTCTACAAAGGACACTTGTTTCAACCCCATGCTGTATTATTGACCTCCGAGATAGGGACGACCTCTCTACAAAGGACACTTGTTCCAACCCCATTTCAGGTTAATTGTTAGTCCTCATACTTGCAGTCTTCTTATCTCCTGAGTTGCTTTTACAACAGGTCAGAGGTGTAGGAATGGAGTGTGTTGATCCACTCAACCCTCGTCCACAGCTACTTGTAAGTACCTTATGCCTCAGACACAATCATTTCTTCAAAATGAAAGGGGGATATAGGGATGGCTTGAAGCACCAAAAAGGAAGAAACAAGGGGTCATTACACAGCAAAGATGCACAAAGCTACATGACACCATCCCTATATCTTTGTGTTATTGTTCACAACCAATCTCGCCCTGCTGACATTTTCCTCCCTAATTGGGAAAGAGCCGCGCTTGCCGTCTCCGTCATTTCCACAACAGTTTACCTTGAAGTAAAGTTTAATATGAGACAAAGATATAGGGATGGTGTCATGTAGCTTTGTGCATCTTTGCTGTGTAATGACCCCTTGTTTCTTCCTTTTTGGTGCTTCAAGCCATCCCTATATCCCCCTTTCATTTTGAAGAAATGATTTTTCCACTTGTATATATACCAGTGCAATATACAGTATATTATTACTTACACAGGTATATACAGGTTGGCCTCCGGGAAAGAACTGAGGGTAGAACTCAGATACAAGTACCTCCGGCCACCATACTACGATCGGTAGACGTTCACTTTCAGGTTAATTGTTAGTCCTCATACATTGCAGTCTTATTATCTCCTGAGCTGCTTTTACAACAGGTCAGAGGTGTAGGAATGGAGTGTGTTGATCCACTCAACCCTCGTCCACAGCTACTTGTAAGTACCTTATGCCTCAGACACAATACTCAACTTACCTCTCTCTCTCTCTCTCTCTCTCTCTCTTCTCTGTGTGTGTGTGTCTCATGTCCAAAAGGGACGATTGCAGACCAGAGTGCATGTGGGCTGTCCTCCAGGCCTGTCTCTAGTGTTTGATCACGTCGCCACCAGGCCAGAGACAACCAGTTCTGCACTACCACCAACAACATCAGCTGCTACTACTTTGGAAATGGTACACACACAATAACTATTTTTAGCGACAGGTATCTTTCTTATAGCTATGTAGGTGAATTTGGTTATTTTCTCAGTATATTTTAGGGGCTGCATGCAATAGTGTTTGCAATGTGGTGTTGTGAGATGATTTTTTAAATCCCCGTCAAAAAAATTTAAAACACAAATTCCGCGGATGCAGTGTCACTTTCTTTCTTCTCCCTGCATCCATCATGTCCGACCTTGAGCCTACTAATACGCTTGGTAACATAAACTCCAAATATTATTAATTTGTCCTCAATTTTTTGCGAATAGTGAGATATTTCATTCTTACTGCGAACGGCTGAAAGCAAAAAAAAAAGAAAAAAAACAAAATAGAAAAAAAAAAACAACAAAAAAAAAAAAAAAAAAAAAAAAAAAAAAAAAAAAAAAAAAACAAAAAAAATAAAAAAAAAAATAAGATAAAAAAAAAAAAAAAAAACAAAAAAGTAAAAAAAAAAAAAAAAAAAAACAAAAAAAAAAGGGAAAAAAAAAAAAAAAAACAAAAAAAAAAAAAAAAACAAAACCAAAAAAAAAAAAAAAAAAAAAAAAAAAAAAAAAAAAAAAAAAAATTTGTCCTCAATTTTTTTGCGATAATAGTGAGATATTTCATTCTTACCTGCGAACGGCTGAAAGCAAAGTTCTTGAAATGCAGTAATGAGCATATACAACTGATACTGGTAGTTTAGTCTCACAATGGTCTTATCTTACTTTTCTGTTAACTTTTCTCCACTATTATTCCGTATCTCAGACACCACAGCTGTTGAAAGATCACCAGATCAGAGAGACGACGAAGGGTCTGGTGGAGAAGTGGTGTTAGACGGAAGTCTGTGCTTCCAGATACAGTTTGGCCCGACTGATCACTGCATAGCTTGGACTGTAAGGAGAAAACCGTCTCTCTCTCTCTCTCTCTCTCTCTCTCTCTCTTCTCTCGTCATAGCTATGAGTCTAACTCCCTCTCTGTCTGTCTCTCTCGTCTCTCTCTCTCTCTCTCTCTCTCTCTCCAACAGGAAGGGAGAGCCAGAGAAGTAGAGATGGAGCTGCAGACTGCTATGGCCAACTACATCAAGTCAGAGTGTCCCCTCCTGCGACGAACTAATCTTCCAGGGGCAGGGAGGAGGAGGAGGGGTGTTTGTCTGTCGTGACAACCCCCACATGCCAACCTATCGTGTCTGTCTTGGAGACAACAATTCGCCACTTGTATCCCTCTATATTCAGCAGTGGGTACGTCTGTACCCTCGAGAACATAATATATCTTAACTTTGAACGAGCAACAGTCCAGTGGTAAAAGTACTTTGCATTCTCACTATCTAGTTTCAGATCCTGGTAATTCAAAAGAACACTCCTTTTTGTAGCGCACTATTACTTTTTGAAGTGACGGCTCATCTCCCAGGTGGAAACTGGACCGGCAGTAAATGTTGGGTGGCTGTTGGCCAGAGTCAACCCTCTCTGTCCGCTCGAGATTCTCTCTCTGGACGTTGCCGAGCAACCGGTTGCCACGGCACCAGCCAATCAGATGCTGTCTCTCTCTCCCTCGTCTCTGGAGCTGATTGATACTTGTATCACTGAACTACAGTCACTATGTAACCACACCTCCTCATAATTATTGTTGTCACTTTCTCTACTGATTTAAAATTTAAACTTTGCAAGGGAACGTGGCACATGCTCAAACACACCACCGTTGATCTTTTATCCCATGTCGAAGTTTTTATCATTCTTTGCCAAAGAGCCAGTTACACGGAATCGATTTTAAGTTAACCCTTTGGACACGATAGGTTATCTTCTTAATTGGTGAGTGAGAACGAGACAACCTAAAAATAGCATTATAAACTAGGAGCAATATGTGTGGTACATACAAGAGTGTCACGCATGCTAAGGAATTTCAATTGGTCACTCATAGGAAGTGTAATTCTGTCACTTGTGGGAAGTTTAACTTCCTCATCCCTCCTGTTTGTCGCAACAGTTGGGCGTGTGGGGAAGGGAAGTGATCCAGGATCAAGACTTGGTACAGCAAGGTCACGAAGGCAGCAGTAGAGATGAATCATAAGTGAGGTATGAAAGGCAAAACAAGTGAAAAGCAACTAATCAACGACACCCAGGACACCGCATGTAGTGTAGCAGACTGACCTGTCCAGAGTGTTGGTGGTGGTTGAAGGAAGAAATGAGACGTGAGGCCCACTCCACCCTCTCCTCACTGGGAGAGAAGGCTTCCTGAACCACTGGCACCTGAGCTGGGTGGATGACCTTAGAGAGAGGGAGGGATTGGGAGAAGGGAGAGGGAAAGAAAGGTAAGAAAGGGAGGGAGGAAGTGGGAGCAGAGAAATGTGCATCGGCAGGTTTTTTAACAGAGCGGATATGGTTTTTTAGTTGTCTACAAAGTTACTTAAGATTGGTGTATCAGCATCAGGACGCACTCATGCGATGCGCGCACGTTGTTACGACATTTTGGGGCGCGCCCAATCGCAGAGCTAGCAGGGCCGCGCCGGGCCGGTGTTGCGGTACATTTCATCCCCCCGAATTTTTATCCGGGCGGATAGGATATTGATATTCTATCCCCCCCGGATAAAATTTCCTAGGATATTCTATCCGCACCCGGGATATTTTATACCCCGTGCTGAGCGTTATTATGAGTTTCGAAACGCAGGCGGGTTGTTATTTTGAGGTTCTGTGGGGGATTTCAACGTTACAGAATGCGATGACAGCCTTGTTTGGAGTTACACCAGCGGACTGTAGAACACTGGATATCCCAGCGAGCGTGGAGCTCAGGTTCGCAGTTGAAGGCGAGCAGACCCGCGCAACCGCTGTGTCTCGAAGAGAAACAGAGTGCAGTCGTGCAGATTCAACTCTGTATGAGCAGCGACGACGCCAACAAAATGGTCCCGCGCGTTTAGATGCGCAACCGTATGCGCAGAAACTTTTCTTATTAGAGGGATAAAATATCCGGACCCCGGATATTCCACACTAAGAGTATTCTATCCGGCCGGATAGAATATACTATCCCCCGGATAAAATACTGTGACACTGGACCCAGCGCAGAGAGCTGGGGCCGGAGTCGTCCATCTCATCTTGAACCGTAGC